AGCAGCATAGTGAGGGTGCCCTTCAAACGACAATAGTAATAATTATTAAAAACTGCCGGACTTCCGCTGGAATCTCTGAGGCACGGTGGAGTAGTCGTCACGATAAAAAAATCTAAAGAAACAAAATAAATAGCCCAACGGTCGTCGGCGGCATCATGAAGCCTGCCTGAGTGCGGAGTATAACGGTCTTGCAATAGGGTATGCGTTGTGCATTCGTTCTTTTCTTTTCTTTTCTACCATGTCGAATTCTGACGCCATGACTCTCTACCTCCTCCGTTCCAACGCGTTGTTCGTTATTAAATTAGCAAATCAGCTTCAAATAAGGGTCGTAACACCCTCTAGGGTAAAAAAGCACAAAAAAAAACAAGGAACATTTTGAGCAGCGAGAGCACCACGGCTGCTCCTCTTCTTATCAAAGAAGGCGCCGTCCGAAAATCCAGCGGCTCCCTTTTTCTTTAATTTACTTTCTAACTTCATTTTGTTGTTGGGTTCGACTGCTCCCTTCTCTGTGACGATGCCGTCTGTGGTCATACGTTTGGCTTTTGTTTTGTCACGCAGTGGTGTGGTCCGACCGATCAACCAACGAGTTTGTTAGAATGGTGTCACGAGGTATAAAATGGCGGATCAAATAAAAATACTAGATGCAAAGGAGCGCAGCTATACTCGTTTGGCCCACGGCGCTTTATTCCTCCAGAGGCGAGCATCGCAGTGCCATGGGCTTTAACCTGTGTCGTCTTCATGACGCCATAGAAGACCCTCTTCAAGCAATTAATTTGCTTCAGCGCTTGGGCCTGCTCCTGGTTCCTGGGTTTTCGTGCGTATGCAGAGTGCGAAGCTGCGATGACAAGCTGCAAGTCGGCGCTCGATCTGCGGATGGCTACACGTGGGGGTGCGGAGTGTGGATGACTCGTGAGGTATCCAAGAGGACGCCGGTCAAAGTTAAGTGCCGGGGCGAGGTCTCGGTACGAAGTGGTTTCTTTTTCGAAGGATCGCACCTGACGCTTCTCCAACTCATGAAAATCATTCTCCGGTGTCAGAGCCTACCGTTCGCCGTCATTTAGTGGGAGACTGATGTCGCAAGTAAGACAATAACTGATTGGAGGAGCTTTTGTCGGGAGGTTGTGGTTAATGCCGTCTTTAAGCATTCAGACATGATTGGTGGCGACGGCGTGACTGTAGAACTAGACGAGAGTATGTTCGGTTGGCGAAAGTACCATCGCGGGTATTTAAGGCCTGGCCAATGGGTTTTCGGTGGTGTGGAGCGTTGCAGCGGGTGCTGCTTTTTTTTTTTCCGTGGAGACCCGTGACGCTAAAGCCCTGCAAGGGCTAATACCCGAGTTGGTCCACCCTGGAACAAGAATAATTACTGACTGTTGGGCTGGCTATCGCAAGCTTGCAGATGAAGCTCGCTTCACGCATCTCACCGTCAACCACAAGCTGTACTTTGTCGACGCGAACACTGGTGCGCACACCAATACGGTGGAGGGCACCTGGGCCCACGTCAAAAACTCTCTTCCATCTGGACGGTGCGAGAGTCACGATTTCGCTGGTCACCTTGGAAAGTTCATGTTTTGGAGGAGAGAGAAGGCGCGCGGTAACACTAGATTCCAGTCGTTCGTCGCGGTGGCCGCCAAAATCGGCAGCCCCGACGCAGACAGTGACGTTCCCTATAGTGCGGAGGACGAGGATTCTGACGGCCCCGGTGACTTCGAGCGATCCGCTGCGCTGCGCCCGTCGCTTGTCTGCGTGCATAAAGACGAATTATGCGCCAACCGCTTGTCAAGTGCTCGTTATGTCAGTTATAGGTTCTAGCAGCGGTCTAAACGGCCCTTTTCAGGGCCCCATATTTTACAAACGGAGCTTTTTTTCGAATGCCGCACCCCGCGTCTCTGTAAAAAGTTCACAGGAAAAACCCAGCCAAGGTATGTGGTCTCCACTTTGGATATCGCGAGTTATGATTCAAATAAAAAATTGTTCTTGCTTATTTCGCACCTTCGATCCCAATAAATTCCCCCGTTGCAGTCGTCTCGCGGTGCTGTTGCTTGCTCAATCGCCGTCGGCGTGTCTCAGCTTCGTCGTCTTTGCCTGCGGCGCACCGGCGAAGGCGGTTGATCTAACACACCGCGTTCGGCTTTGGCTAGCAGACGGCGTTCGTAAAATGGCGTCAGCTGTTGGTGACTTCACGCGGCGGTACAGTGCGTGCTTCCATTCATTCGGCGTTCGTTGCCAAGGTGACGGCGAGGAAAGCAGGCGAACTTTATGTTCCGGAAGAACGCTGCGTCGCAGCGATACCAGGTGCGTTCTAAGGCCCTTCCCGCATGCTTTTCAATGGGCGGAAGGCGAACAAAAAGAGTTCGAAATAAGGACTTAACGCAGAATGCTGCCTTTCTCCAGCGCCTCCTAATTTGACGAGACTTGCACGAAATGCATGTTTTTAGAGCGGAGCTTGGAGATAGTTTTTTTTTTACAAAACATGGGTCTAGAGTATTAATGTGCCACAAATTGCATCTTGCAGGCGCAATCGTCCACGCTTTATTTTGGGTATTTACTTCACATCTTTTACACGGGGAAGGCGTGCGCGTGTGGCGCTTAAAACACCAATCTCTGCATTCTCCTTGATGCTTGGGTAATTTAGAATAGGCCTATTGCACGCGCTGCCCACTTGAGCGGCACACGCTTGGCGGCCCAAGGATCACAGTATAACGTTACAACTAATCAAAGTTTTTTTGTTTCTTTTTTCCGTTTAGTTGCAGTTTTTGAGAAAACAAACGTAATGTTCAAGTTTACGTGATAAGAATACGTCTGAATTCTCCCCCATCTCGTTTTTTTTTTTTTTTCAAGAAATGTGTTAGCTTTTTTTTGAAGTTTATAGATGTTCACTCAACCTTACGTGTAGGCGTTAATAGAAGACAGGTTGGCTAAAATTTAAAACGGGAAGGAATGTGGGAGGAACTTTTAAAGGCTGAAGTACTAAAACAATTTACTGCCAAGATAAATGCTGATTAAATCATTGCTTGTGTAGATATAAAGTGATGCTATCCAAAAGTTTGTCTCAGGGGCCGGATGCGCGACTTGTTGCTCTCTCTAGATAAGAAAAAAATAGTAATTATAAACGAATAAGAAGTAATTGAATAAATCTAGGTTATAATTTAAACATAGACCTGAATGTTAGAGTAAGTGTTAAAAGCCTAAAGACGATAAAGACACATACTTCAAATGAGGATTTAATATTTACCTAATTATGACATAAGCACACCACTGTGACCAAAATAACTCCAGGCATAAATCAAAGCTCCTTGGAACTTTGGCATGTTTGAAGGGAGAATACCACGAATTAAAATCATAAAACTAATGCTTAAAATAGTTTTGACAGAGGACACAAAGCGCAATTTAGATGAGAACACAATGGAATGTTTTGCATAGTTACGCAGACATACAGTCGCCGGCCATATGAGCTCCCCCGGCCGAACGCCGACCGGAGCAGCAAAAATCCCGCATGGGGCGCGTCGAGCGTTGCCGCGTTCTGGGAGCCGGGCTATTGGGATCAAACCATTCCGTTAATCAAAGGGTGGACGCATAGCTTTTATCGGGATTCCGCGTTTTGGAACGCGAGTCTGAAGCACGGCCGATTACAATCCCTCTTCTGGTTGTAGGTTAACGCAGACGGCTTATCAAAATTCTTCAATACATAATATCTCTGACGTGTTATATGCTACTTTTTTATTTGCAAAACCGGTTTGTCATTTTAGATATTTCCTACCCGAAGAGTAGTCCTACGCACAAGCCCCCCCTTTCTTACAATCTTTCTTAAACCTAGACTAGACAATGACAAGCGATTTTGAAATAATTTAGTTTTTCTATAAGGATATGCTATAGATAACAGAAAGAAAATATTTGTGTCGCAGCAGAATAAAGATTCAGACGCTTTTCATGAACGCGGTTTATCGAGGAGACTCCATTGTTCTGCGCTCAGTAGCGTGTTGCTTCGCCAAGGGTAATACTCTACACGATGACTTTGCAAATGGCCTCCTGGTCGGTCACTTCTCGCTTGACGAGGGATCATTGTTGCAATGCCTAATATCATATCAAACATAAGGTGTTTACATTTGTAAGCATCGATTGAACACTGCTGCTTTATCTACGCCTAAGGCAAGCTCCAGTTTATCAGCAGTTATAACATCATCTTCGAACACTTGGGGCCAACACCCGAAAACGGCAATGTTTTTGTGATTCACACTTCTAAAGGCTGGAATCCCAATAAAAGCTATGCGTCCACCCCTTTGATAAAGGAATGGTTTGGTTCCAATAGCCCGGCTCCCAAAACGCGGCAACGCTCGGCGCGCCGCGTGCGGGATTTTCGCTGATCCGGTCGGCGTTCGGCCGGGGGAGCTCATATGGCCGGCGACTGTACATCAGGGGAATCAGAATAATAATGCTGGTGATGACAATTTTGAATGAATAATATGCAGAGACGACCCGTGTTCCGATGTTTCTCTCGTTCTTTCTTACAACTTAGCTAGCGTATTTAGATTGTGTCCTGACACCGTTTTCTGGGTGTTTCCCCAGGGAACGTTTCCAGCAGCCTGGGTCTGCTGGAAGCGGGCCGCGGGCTGGGTTTTATTGAAAATACCGCCATCAGCAGCTGGTCGAGCGCAAGACTTCTCGGGCCGGGGTTCGGAGAACCCTGATGTAGACACTTCAAGCGATGCCTTGCTGACTCCAGTGACTTGACGGCAATAATGCTCCTGTGTAACAGAGCCAGGAGATACTAAAATGTTCCTAATTTTTATGGCACTCATTAATGTACAATATCTGTGTGCTTCAAGTTCAAGGTATGGCAACTGGCAACTATTTTCAAGTCGAGTTGCTAAAGGTTCAGGATTGGACCACGGTTTCCTTAGTTCGACCTTGAAGTTTGTGGGAGAAACCACAGGGACTGATTTGGGCACTGAGAGAGAGTGCGCAAAAAATGCAAGGGCACTTTAATCCAAACACTTATAAAGCTTTTTGTAAGAGTTGTTTATTGTATAAATTTAGAGGATGCGCGATCTTGGAAAGTCGATAGTCACATGTATAAACTGTTAATAGGTGGTGGTTCTCAAATATATATGTCTCAATTAACCTGCGTGAGCCTTACTAACCTGGCGCAAGCACGATTGTCACACTGCTTAGTGAAACCTTTGTTTTTGCATGCGACAGCCACCACGACCATCACCCCTGCAGCATAAACTGCAGCATGCAAATAAGCATTTTATTTAAATATCCACTTCCGATAAGAACACCTTAGGATTCTTTAACCAATATATAAATAAAAAAATCCACGCTGTTATATAAAGCCCGTGGAGTGCTAGGGTTGATTGCATCTTACCAAATCTTGCTAGAAAAAAAAACAACGCTCTGAGAACACACCAGCTGTTCGTTAAATTAGACATGCCCGTTAAAAGATAAAAATGACCAGCTGCCGAGCTCTTGTGCCCTTGGTTTCCAGCGAAGACGACGGTGCCCAAAGTGTTCATCGACGCAAAGGTTACCGCCAGGACGATGAATTTGAGCCCGGCACCATAAGCGAACTGAAAAAAAATAAAATAAAACAACTTTTGGAACTCGCAGATTATGCACCGGGCACTGTATAGATGCTTTAACCGCGCGCCAGATTAAGACGCCATTGCCGACCTTCTCTGTCTTACCGAGATTCCGAGCCACCAAATACGACCTACATGTAGCTTCGCCAATACTGGAAACTCCTCCGAAAACCTATGGGAGCGGCGGCGAACGTGACAGTGGTGCCTCTAGCGGACTCGGAGTCTACGGAAGCAGACGTCGCAACGAAAAAGTAATACCTGCACGACGTCCTCGAGCTTTGTCACCCCAACAGCAGAAAGAATTCATTACGGTCAGTCCGCTTGCAAAGCGGAATCCATTGGTCGTAACTGCTACGACAATGAAATAACAAAGCGGGCAGGAACAAAGATAGAGCAGTCTATTTAGAGGTCTCAAACGCTATTCAGGGAGACCACACGCGTTTGAAGCGCATCTGGGAAGCGGGGAAAAAAGGCGTTTAGCTACTCGAACTACGTCGTAAGAAGTTACAGCTTATCTGTTACAAACTGAGTTCTCACAATTTCTTACCTGAATAGGTGTTTATAAAATGTGCGCGAACAACATGTTAAAATTACCAGAGCAAGCGCACCACCCTCTGCACCATTACAAAAACCAAAAGTAACTGGAAAATTTACCGTGCAAACACTTTCCGAACTTTGCAGAAAAGATTGGGTCCCCATCCCAGACGAAAATAAAAAGAAATGAACAGTCGCGAACAACGGCGAATGAAACGAAGAAGTTAGCAGACAATACAAAGATACAAAGCACTCAGCAAAGACCTGAGTGATTTGTATCGCTCAGGTCTTTGTCGTCGCACGGTCGCACATAAAACCCGCGTTTCTCCTACCCCCCCGCTTCCTCCTCTCATTATATGTATTTGGTTCTAACTAAATAAGCTATATTAATGGTGTAATATTCATATCTACTTTAAGTTTCAGTTAGGAAAAATGAGTTTCACGGCAACTAGAGTCAATAAATGAGCTTCGCTTAGAGTGTCAACACTCTCTTCCCCGACAGTGTTTGAACGCCGCCATTTTGGTGGTTGTGCAGAGGAGGCGCAACTGCCGATCGTCATGGTTCCAAAGTGTGACATCCTCAGCATTAGATTCGGTGTTAGGAAGCTCATGTAATGTTGCTTTGCTTTGTCGCAAACTGTTTAAAGTGGAGGACGGAAAAGCTTTTCTTGTGATTCAGATAAAGCTTCAAATAACTGGCAACCATGATTTTAAGCCACAATAAGGCCAGGTGTCGCTACTCTGAAGCGTAGCTTATTTAATGACACTATTCAAGCTCTTGTTCAAGAGGCTTGTAATACCTGGAGGGGCCATGACGTAAGCCCCGTGCATTCCACAAGCCACTTCCTTTTGACACCTGCCTCTTCCTCATTGTTCCCGCTTATGCCAGTAAATTAGCTACGGTTCAGAGTAACTACACTTGGCCATAATGTGGCTTAATATTATGGTTGCCAGTTATATGAAGCTCTATCTAAAATCCCAGGAAACGCTTTTCCGTCCCTCACAAATGTTTAAACAACCCGCGACAGAGCATTGCAATATTGCATCAGCTTCCTAGCACCGCATCTAATGCTGAAGAAGTCGTACTTTTGGATCATGATGATCGGCAGTTGCGTTTGCTCTGAGCAAGACCCAAAATGGCGGCACCCAAAACAATTTTGGAGAACGGAGCGCCGATACTTTAAAGCTCATTTAGTGACTCTAGGCATAAAGGGCACTGGGGAGTATTCTTTTCCTCTTCATCTTCATTGTTTATTGATTTCAATCACATCGAATAATGAACACATTATATCACGCTACGCTTGTGTTATTATTTGTCTGAGATTTATTAGCCTGACCCAGTACTTAAACCATTCAGTTATCGATAGTAAATCTTCCAATATATTTTTTTTAAATGTGAGGGTAAAAAGACACCGAGATTGATGATGATACAAACGCCAACGCCGCCCTCGGAAATTTTTTGAACATTAGAAATCAGCAGTTTGTTTGCCATCCACCAGGTAGCGCAAAAAAACACCCAGTTTTTAAATATGTTTAAAATTAGCTAAGCTCTACACCTATTAAGAAACCAAAACAAGATCATTGTGAAAATTTAATACATCGCAATGTATATATATTCCAAACAATAAATATTATTAGATGCCAATAAATCTGTTTGATTTCCAAAAAAGATATGCGTCAAAACAGGTAAGTTTGAAACGCTGCTGGAGCGTTATGACTTTGAAAATGAAAAAAAGCCATCGTCCACCTCTTGGGCAACCATTGTAGCTCTAAATGTTATAAAAGATTTTATCACAGTTTAATTATTTCCTCAGCGGCATTTGATGTACCATGAGTCGAAACACAAAAAAGTGCTAGTTTGATATAAAATATCTAAACAAAAAAAAATTTTACACAACATTAAAGTTTTTTTTGCATATTACCAATTATAAGCACTACATATGTAGCTAATTTCATTGCCCTAGCGCGTGTCATTAAAACATATTTGTGCTGAAAAATGTCAATTTTAGGGCAATATTTGGAGGGATCAAAAAAACAAAGTAGTGCACATACCAAAAAAGTGCATCGTTACATTCTGCTCCGACATTATCTTAACAAAACTGCTATATTGGAACCGTGTTATCTTTAATGGATAGTTCATAAAACATGAACTAGCGGAGCAAGTGAGGGTCCGCGCCATCATATTCGCAACGCTACAAATGCGCATGAACAGTAAAAACCAACACATACATAATATCAAATGAAAGAGGATTGCATTGCCTTTCGAATGACACCAATTCCACAAAACAGCATTTAAAAGGAGATGAGTAATGACCTGCCAAAAAGTACCCACACTGCCACATTCAGTGGGACCGTGGCCTTAATCGGCCAACTTGTGCCAAACAAAAAAAGCAAAGAAAGAGCGTCGAGGCAGCAGAAGAGCAGGCGGCGAATCGGTAACGTGACAGAGAGTGAGAGCGAAACTGAATCGACAAGGTCGCTGGCAGCTGCTTATAATTCTACAGTGCGCCACCATCTCGAAAGTTCGACAAAGAAGGTTTGAGCGTCACGCGCTCGGAGCGAGGATGAACTGGCGCTTTCGAGAACAAGAAAGCAGGGCGAAAGTACGTCTGGTAGAAGAATGAACGCGAATCATCTAGAATCCCGTGACCGAGCGTTGCTTTTTCGGTTCTGCGGGCGGTAATATGACGGGCCTGCCCTTTTGTCGTGCATGTGTTTGGCTCCTTGTGGACTTCCAGGAAAACGTGATGACGTGTAGACTTGGGTTTCCAAAATTCTAGCTTAAAAAATTAACTACCTAAAAAAATGAAGAAATAATTTGTTTTTTTTTTGTTTTTTTGGTGGGGGGGGGGGGGGGGGGGGGGGGAGCGGTCAGGTGTCCTATTTAGGTGGCTGGGTGTTTTTTTTTTACTAAAACCACGAGATTGGAAAACACAAAAATGACACTCAGGTTTAGATGTTGAGTTTGCAAAACCCAAAGTAGGACTGGCGCGGGAGTCATAATAAAAAAAAACAAAAAAACGCCAAGGTTAAAAATTAATTCACAGTAATATACCATACGAATTAACTTTAATACGAATTCAGTGATAAATGAAACGACTGGCCAGGCAAAGATTCTGGGTCTGTGGATAGCCTAATTTAAAAAGTTCGCGAACAAACAACGAGCTTTGAGCGAAAGTAACAAGGCGTTCGTTTTTGCTGTGTTTGTCCGTCCATTTTCGTTCCTTCCTCAAGCTTAATTATCTCTACCAACCCGCTCGTTCTGTCCTGAGATATTCACCGCTAAAATTTTGCCTTTCTTCAATTAATTAAAAAAACTTCGCGCTGGAAGCGCGAATGAGGTTGTGCCGATTTTGATGCGTAGAAGAATGACGCAGTTGTTTCTGTCCCCTCGTCACTAACTCGACAGCGTTTCTTCGGTGGACTCGCCGGCGCCACACATCAAGACGACTAAGTTACTATTCTTCGTATTATTTTCATAACGCGGTTTCTGAATCAAGCGAAGAAAGGCAAACTTTTACGATTAATTTTGCGAACCTCGTTGGCCTTTTCGCGAATTGTCGAAATTGTGTTTGCCTTTAATTATGACTCATTTTAAAACTGCAATTGCACCATAGCCAATTAAGCCGGTTATAAGCAAGTTAACTAGCAGATCTTGGTTCATTATTAAACATTGCAACGGTTATTCACCCATTCATTGTCCACCGAGCCCTACAGATATAACGAAAGGCGGTATCCACATATCTGCCACATCCTTTTTTTGTAAAATATGTAAAGTTCTGTAAAAAATAAAACAAAAACACCCTGAGTGTCTGCGTGAACCAGATACGCCCCCTGTGGAACCATGGGTGTTTCCCTTCGAATACCCAGCTCAGGCGAGACTTACCTGGTTGTCAGAAAGCAGCTGTCGGTTAAATGTATTGTTGTGAGCGTGTAGGTTTCAGATGGTTTACCCTCAAGAGGATAATGCGCTGCATATTGTAACCATGTATGCGCTGTGCATTTTAACCATTATTTCAATGCCGTGCAGTAAACTATAACAACTTTTTCCTTGCCTGATCTACGTGTGCTCATGTTTTCTGCTCAAAATGAAGTGAAATAGTTGCTTGTTTTCTTTGAATCTTATAAAGCATTACTTGTTCAGCCCACGGTGTCTCAGTTTTTGGACTTAAGTTTAATGTTAAAACGCGTGATTAAAATTGTCACGGCTTATAAGCCATTTCTTACAAGTGAACGTCGGGTGATCCTCGGATGGTCGTGGCAGCCACGAAGAAATAGAAGATTCTCACCCCTTTGCGACCGTCGCTTCGGTGGTTCGTCGCATACATTATGGCGCACCGTGAATTCACGAGGGCGCCCATCAAACCATTCGGCCAATCTTGGCCGCGACACGATCACATGGTCGTGTTGCCGCGGGGTTGATCGGGATCTCGAATTCGGCTCCCGACGCGCCG